TGACTAGGAGTCAAGAAAACTGGATTCTACTTGGACTCTGCCACTGAACCTCATTTTCCCCATTTGTAAAATGGTGATAATCAAGGGGAAGTTCAACATGTTAAGATCCATTCTCCCTCCCAGGTTGTGTATGTCTTTCTTATATTAATGAGTTTTTTTTTTTTTTTTTTTTTTTTAGTACCAGACATACTGTCCTTAAGGTGCTGTTGAGTGGTTAAGATACTGTTTGCAAATGTAGTTTCCATTTCTGGGGTAAAGACAATAAATAAAAAGATGACATAATGTCAGTGTTAAGTGCTATGCAGGCATATTAATGTGTCGTATTTTAAAATGATAATATGAGTAAGTGGGTGGTCAGGGATGACTTCAAAGATTGTATGGTAGGACGGAGCAGTTTTGGCAAGGAAATTTTATTCATGGAACTATGAATAGCAGAGAATAGTAAGTCTTACAAGGAGATTGACAGTTTGGGTGGTTGAGGAAGGGGGATTTCCTTTTTGCTTAGGGAACTATGAGGCAAAGTCTGCTTATAAGATGGAGTGAGGGCTGGGGATGTGGCTCAAGAGGTAGCACGCTTACCTGGCATGCGTGCGGCCCGGGTCCGATCCTCAGCACCACATACAAACAGATGTGTCTGCCGAAAACTAAAAAAATAAATAAATATTAAAAAATTCTCTCTCTCTTTCTTTAAAAAAAAAGTTAGCCCTAAGGCTAACTTAAAAAAAAAAAGATGGAGTGAAATAGATGTAGAAGATTTGAGGAGAGAAAAGTAAAAGTAATAGTTATTTTGAAAGATGAAAAGACTATTCTGGGGGGATGTTGTATGATTGCCAGTGTTGTATGCAAGAATTTAAAGGGAGTATACTGTTGTATACTTTTCTGCTTTAAATGTTTGTTCAGATTCTTTACTGTATGTAATAGAATAGATGGCTAGAGGGTTGAAACCTCTTGTGGAACTTAGAAGTCTCCCCCCAAAAAAAACCTAAATAGAATATTTTGCAGTGTGAAGGTTTGTGTTAAAGAAAAAGATGCCTTGAAGATGAAACAATTTAAGTATTTGTGTGTGTTTACTTTTGTGGTACTGGGGTTGAACCCAGGGGCATTTGTACCTTGAGCTATATCCCCAGCCCTTTTTGTATTTTAGATAGGGTCTGGCTAAATTGCTGAGGCTGGCTTTAACTTTGTGTTCCTCCTGCCTCAGCCTCTTGGTTTGCTTGAGTGCTGGAATTACAAGCATGCATTACTTTACCTAGTTACAACTGGAAATTTGCATTTATAATACCTAGTTGTCCAAGTAGCCACTACTTGTTTGGTCTCTTGGAGCCTCCTCTCCTTTTCCCCTCTATTGATTGGCACATAATCCCTATATTCAAACATCCAAAACACATGACATTTTCTCTATCATCTCTTTAGCTGTTATCTTCATTTCCCTTCACAAACTTCAGATAAGAGTCTATTCCTAGAAATCTCCATTTTCTTACTGTTTGCTAATTTTTTTAATAGATGTATTTAAATGTATATTTTAATGTTAGGTGTTAGGGAAATGAATAAGATCTCAATTCCTGGTCATCCAACCACAATTTAATAGGACAAGTGTGTAGTGTACTGAGTATGCACATTTATTCAACCTGTTTCAGTTTGCTGCGTTCCCTTTATGTCTTTTAAACTTAAATTATTGTCTAAATACTAAATCAGTTCTTATTCTTAGTTTTCTAATTAGTTCCTAATCTTTTTGCTGCATTGATACTATAGCTACTTCTTCCTTCAAACTTCTTTTTCTTTGATACCACCTCCATTTTTTCCCTATCTTCTTTATTTTGTTGCTAACAAATGCTAGAATCTGTATATAGAATTCTTTATATCCCAACTATTGTACTAGCACTTTATGGACTTTCTCATTTAATAGGTAGTTCTGCAAGATAGATACTATTTACTATAATTATAGTGGCAAGTCATTTGCCTTTAATCCTGGTGATTAAGCATCAGTTACTTATTATTTTTTAAGTTGTACATGGACGCAATACCTTTATTTTACTTATTTTTATGTGGTGCTGAGATTCAGACCCAGTGCCTCACATGTCCTAGGTGAGTGTTTCACCACTGAGCTACAACCCCAGCCCAGTCACTTATTTTAATAAATACTATTTAGATGCCAGGCCTTGTGCTTGTCCTGGCAGGAATGCAGAAAATTGATAGGTAATTGGAATATAGTGCATTATGATAGGGGTCATATAGGTTACTAAATGATCCCTGTAACTGGGCAAGCTTCTTCTCCATAAAATAGGAATTGATTTACAACATCACAGTATAGTTTTGTTTGGTTTTGAACTTCATATAAATGGAATCATAGTATATAGGTATGTCTAACTTCCTCATACTCAACATGGTGAAGAACATTACATATCAGTTTGGACATGTTATGTTTTTTTTTTTTTTTCATTTTGCCTCTGTATTTTCATTACAGATGGTTTGTACTGCTGTGTCTAAGTTCGTGAATCTTTTATACTGTAGGATCTAATCTGTTACTCCTGTCAGGTATACTTTTTATCTCCTGAGGTTTGATTTTGGGTCTTTAAAAAAATATATAATTTATCATGTTCTTAATTTTTACCTTCGTGAGCATGTGGAATATATTTATAATTGTTTTAGTATTAGTATCTAATTCTGTGTCATTTCTGGATGATTTTCTTTTCATCCCCCCCCCCACCCTTGCCCCCAATATGGGTTTCCTGTTTTTGTTTCCTTGTTTGCCTGGTTGCTAGAATTGGGGGTGAGGCAGTGTGCTAGGGATTAAATAGATTTTTAAAATTCTTTGAATATATTATATACACATATAAATGCATATTTTTGGTTACATTCCGAGATGCAGTTCTTTGGAAATACTTAAAATTTCTCTTTTTTTTTTTTCTTTTTTCTTTTTGTAATATTGGGAATTGAGCTCAGGGTACTTTACCACTGAATTACACATGCACCATGCACACATGCAGGCTTGTTTTTGTTGCGGGGGGGGGGGGTGGCTTGAATCCAGGGCATTTAATCACTGAACCATATCCCCAGCCTTTTTGTATATTTTTTTTAGAGACAGGGGTTTTACTTCAGTCCTTGGTAAATTGCTGAAGCTGGCTTTGAACTCTTGATTCTCCTGCCTTAGCCTCTGGAGCTGCTCGGATTACAGGCACTTAACACCATGCCTGGCTCACAGTCTGTTTTATTTTACTTTTTTAGTTTGAAACTGGGTTTTGCAAAGTTGCTGAGCTCTTCACTGAGTTACCAAGGCTGATCTCAAATTTGGGATCCTCCTGTCTCAGCCTCCCCAATCACTGGGGTTATAGGCATTCTCCATTACATCTGGCTAGTTCATTCCTTTTTCTGCAAGGCTTCTATGCAAAGTATCTATCACTGAGGCCCCCTCAGTAGTTTTCTTCCTCAGTAAGCTGATTAGCGCCTAACCAAAGCCTGGAGGAACTCTGCAGATTTCTACAGCTTGCTTTTTAATTCTGGCTACCTAGGGGCTTCCCAAAGTCTCCTTAGTTATGTGTGTTTATTAGAGTCTGAGTTTCTTCTGTGTTCTGGTTGAAACTCTAGGCAGGAATTTGGGGCACTCAGAAGGCTCACCTTGTTCTTCTTGGATCATTGTCTAGTTGTTCAGTGTTTGAAAACTGATAATCCATGTATTTCGGCCATATTGTTTTTTTTTTTAACAGGTTTTTAAAATAATTTTTATTTTTTAAAAGTAAATTGTACATTACAGGGAAAAAAAAAAAACAAGCAAAGAACAAAATCATCCAGTCACAAGAAGCTTAGTTGGATGTGTCCCTCTAGGTTGTGTGCATATATATACAATGTCCCATTTTGTGTAATTGAGATTGTGGTGTGTATCATGCTTTTCCACACATCATGAATATTCACCAATTCAAAATCCCGAAGCTACATGAGTAGTTTTTGATAACCAAGAATACACTACACCAATTCAATCTGTTATACTTTCTTGGGGACAAAAATTTCACTGAAGACAGAAATGGTAACAGGCCTCTAGATAGACATCGGCCATGTTTTAAGTTATTTGAAATGGAAGAGAAAATATAGTCTCTGTTAATCCTATCATGACTAGCTGTGAAAGTTGGTATTGTATGAATGTGCAGCATTGATGTGTTTATTTTTTGCTGTACAAACTTTGGACATTTGTGTTATACCAAATAGACTAGTGTTTGTTTTTGAACTATTACTGGTATATAGAGATAAGTAAAAATGTTGGAATATATTTAGAAATATAAAGCAATTTGACATTATCCTGGCATTTCTCTGTATCTTACAAAACCCCATCTACAGATTGGAAATGAGAAACTCAGTCCCTCAACAATAGTTTGAGAAGCTCTGTACTAGGCCATTTGGTCAGAATGACCCCTTAATAAAAGACTAGGGATGTTGCTCAGTGGTAGAGCATTTGCCTAGCCTGCATGAGGCCTGGGTTGGATCCCTAGCACCACTGCAAAACAAACACTATTTGAACATAATTGCCTGAGGCAGAAAGTTTGCAGATATGGAATCCAGGGCATTCTAGGACTCTGGGCAAATAGTCTTTGTGACTCTAGCTGTGAAAGTTGCTGCTTATTTTCAACCCCCTATGTATGACTGGGCAAGGATTAAATTTGACAATGTAATTAAATCAGTAATATTTGGTTCTTATTGAGTATTTAATAAAGGACAACTCCTCCCCACAGCAGTACTGGGAATGAGATCCAGGGATGCTTTGCCACTAAGCAGCATCCCTAGCCCTTTTTATTTTTTATGTCAAGATAGGGTTTGCTAAATTGCCCACTCTAGCCTCAAATTTGTGATCTTCCTGCCCCAACCTCTCTAGTCATTGGGATTACAGGTGGGCACTGACACATCCAGCAGATGACAACTATTTATTCCTTTATGTTTTCCTGAGTTTACTTAATATCCAGGCTTAAAATAGTCTCCATTTTTACTTTTTCTCCCTTTATTCTTCATTGTAGAATTGAAGATGCTCCAGCTCCTTCTACCTCTGCAGATAAAGTGAAAAGGTAAGATTATTTACATAGTTCAATTAGATTCACATCTGAAACACAAAGCAGTATAACCTGAGGGCAGCTAGTTTCATGATTTTTATTTTGCCCTGCTGAGGATTGAACCTAAGGGCTGAGTGTGGGGTTGCTTGCCTATGATCCCAGCAACTGGGAAGCTGAGGCAGGAGGATCATAAATTGGAGGCCAGCCTTAGAAATTGAGGCCTTATGCAACTTAGTGAGACCCTGTCTTTTTTTTTTTTTTTTAAAGAGAGTGAGAGAGGAGAGAGAGAGAGAGAGAATTTTTTTTTTAATATTTTTTAGTTCTCGGCGGACACAACATCTTTGTTGGTATGTGGTGCTGAGGATCGAACCCGGGCCGCACGCATGCCAGGCGAGTGCGATACCGCTTGAGCCACATCCCCAGCCCCGAGACCCTGTCTTAAAGAGGACTGGGGATGTAGCTCAGTGTGGTAAAACACCTCTGAGTTCAATGCCCAGTACCAAAAAGGGGAAAAAAAAAAAGAATTGAAACTAGGACTTCATGCAAGCATTCTACTACTGAGCTATATCTCCAGTCTCAGTTTCATTATTTTTAATGAAACAATTAAGACTGAACAGTGTCTAGACAATGATGTCTTCAGAATGTTTGCATTTGATTAAAATATTAGAATTGGCTAGACACGGTGGGTTTACCTGTAATTCCAGCTACTCAGGAGACTGAGGCAGGAATATCACCAATTCAAGGCTAGCCTTAGCAGTTCAGTGAGACATTGTCTCAAGTAAAATAAAAGGGCTGAGAATATAGCTCAGTGGTAAAGTGCCCCTGGTTCAAACCTAGTACCACATACAAAAAGTACCAACAAAGAATTGGAAGTTTTACTTAGTTTTGCTCCTGTCCTCACTCATGCTGAACAACTTTTTCTTCATTTAGTCTTTTAATTTGGGGCGGAGGAGAGGGGTGGTAGGTACCAGGGATTGAACTCGGGCACTCAACCACTGAGCCACATCTCCAACTCTTTTTTGTACTTTATTTAGACAGAGTCCCACTGAATTGCTTAGTGCCTTGCTTATGCTGAAGCTGGTTTTGAACTTGCAATCCTCTTGCCTCAGCCTCCTGAGATTACAGGCATGCATCATCAAGCCCTGTGCTCTTCATTTAGATTTAAAACATTCAATACCATTACATCATTACATGATGATTTTGCTTTTATGTTTGCTGTTTTGGTTTTTTGAGTGAATAAGCAATAGGAGGAGAAATTACTTAATACTGTTATAAATACTTGTTATAAATCTGTACCTTTATGTTCTCCCTTTTTGGATGTCTGTTTATCCTCATCCTCTTAGCCCTACTAAAGATTTTTTTGTGTTTATTTTTGTTTTACAGTGCTTGAGTTGAACAATCCCTACCACTGATCTATACCCTAGTTCCTCAGAAGTTTTTTCTTGTACATCCTTGGGGTCCCTTGGGGTCTTCCCTTTCAGGGATTCATTGATACCATATTTCATAATAACAAGACTCTTTGCCTCTTTAATTGTGTTGATCAATAGCATTAATATTGTAAAACCAATGGTGGATAAATCTGATGTCCTCATAACATAAATCAAGGTTAACAGCACCAAACAGTACTGTAGCTCTTTTGGTTCTTCACTACCATTTTCACTTAGAAATGTCCATAATGAAGCACTACAAACTAAGAAGTTTACTAATTCTCAGTCTTTCACTACATGACTTTGTAGTATTCTGTCTGACATAATATGAATTATAGATTAAAGCCCTTCT